GGACAGCACCTGGCTGCTCTGCAGGGTCTTCAAAATCGTCTGGATACTCTGTCCCATTTGGTTTGTACTTCGCCTCCGGGGAAAGCTGAAGAGACCCTGGAGACAGATTAGCATCCAAGACCAGCCACCCAGGAGGGGACTGAGCTGAGGGGAGCAGGGAACCACAGCAGCCCTGGCCCAGGAGCCATGGCTTGAATGAATAAAACAAACCTGGCCTCGGGAAGAAATTCTCAGCAGGACCCAAGAGGCACTTTGCATCTTCCCCAGGGAGAAACCCAGCCGCAGGGCTGGAATCCTCCGGGAGCCTCCAGCACAACCTGGGGTTCCTCAGACAGAGGTGTCCCCAGCCCAGCGTGCTGCCCAGACAGTCCTGTGAGGCTGAATTCCTTCCAGAGGGAGCCAAGCCCAGGAGGACACTTCTTGGCCCCCAAGCCCCTTCCTGCTTCATCGTACCCTCGGCTCTTTTATTTCCCAGCTTCGTCTGCCAAGGGGACAGGCCACGGGGGAAAGAACATCTGCTGCCACTACAAACTGCTCCACTGGGTGGAGGCCAACCATGCCCTCCTGAAGAAGTGCCTGAGGTGCCTCTACCGCCTCCACCTGAAGGAGATTCGGCACCAGTACCATCAAAAGAAGGCAGAACAATAAGGTAAGGAGAGGGGAGCCTTCTCTGGCTCCCCATGCACCTCCTGCTTGAGCATGCGCCTGGCTCATCGGCAACACAAAAGGCAGCGGTGCGAGTGCTGCCGTTCTCAGGGACCTGAGGCAGAAGAGAAGAGGCTCCCAGGGCCGTGAGGTGCTCCACGGGTGCCCACAAAATCAGAGGAGGATTTCACATCCTGTCAGGTTGCACACATCCCCATGAAGTTCCCAGTGGGTGCCCATGTCCCCATTCTCCAAGTTGAACAGTCCCAGCCCTCTCAGCCTTTCCTAGGAGAGATGGTCTTCCCTTCATCTTCGTAACCCTCTGCTGGACTCTCTCACCAGTAGCTTCATCTCTCTCGTACTGGGAAGCACAGAAATGGACACCGTACTCACGTGTGGCTTTGTCTGAGTAGACAGGAAGGATCACCTCCCTCAATGCGTTTGGAACATTTGCCCTAATTCAGCCCAGGATACCATTAGCCTTCTTTGCTGCAAGTGCACATCAGTGGCTCATGGTTAACCAGGACCCTCAAGGCCTTTTCTGCAAAGCTGCTTTCCGGATGGGTGGCCTCCAGCATGTACTGGTGCATGGGATTGTTCTTCCCCATGTTCAGGACTTTGCACTTTCTGCTGTTAACTTTGGAAGGTTTCTGTAAGCTCCGTTCTCCAGCCTGTCCAGGTCCGTCTGGTTGGCAGCACAACCCTCTGGTGTACCCACCAGCTACTCTTTCCAGTTTTGTGTCACCAACAGATGTGCTGAGGGTACACTCTGCTCCATCATCCAGATCTTTAAAGGTGTTGAACAGCACTGGACCTTGTATTGGCCCCCGGGCTACAGCACTAGTTAGTGGTCTCCAACCAGATTTCGTGCCACTCATCACCACACTCTTGGGCCCAGCCATTCAGGTGCTTTTCAATCTATCCTGCAGCCTACTTATCCAGCCCACACAGCAGCTTCACTATGAGGCTCTTCTGTGAGACCATCTCACATGCCTGACAGAAGGTAGACAATATACGCTGTTCTTCCCTCACCTACCAAGTCAGCCATCTCATCATAGAAGGCTATGGGATTGTTTGAGCATGAGTGTCCCTTCATGAATCCACGCTGACACTAAGCAAATTGCCACAGAGCCATTTACCCCTTTGCTAAAATGGCGCTCACCCTTGCCTGATGCTCCACCAGTGCTAATGACACCCTCTCTGTAAGGTCTTTTGAGGAAATGCACTTGACTACCATCTGTCCATCCATCCATCACTCTGCTACCCTGAGAGCACAGAAGGGGTTTCATAAAAGCACCCCAAGTCATGGGTGCACTAGGCCTTGCCAAGAGCTGGTTGGCCAGCCAAAAGCCAGAACCACGGCCTTCAACACCACCTTCTTCACCAGAACAGTCTGTGCCAGGAGCTTTGCTCCAGGTCTGGCTTTGCTTTGCAGAACTAAATGTTGGCCAAGTGTGCTTCCACACTGAGACTGCAGCCAGCTGCATGCAGCACCAAACAGGAGACAAGAAACACCAGCATCCATTTGTCCTGCCTTTATTTCCAGGGGAGAGGAGCCCAGTAGTTCATCTTGAGAGCCATCTTGGCTGCACAAGCCCTGAGAAGCCTCCCCAGTTCTGCAGGGCTTTGGTCCTTCTTACTTATGACTGTAACTAGAATTAGCCAGTGCCAGCCCTCGATTATGGCAAAGCTGACATGCCTCGGGGAATGTTTGCAGAGAGGGTGGGTGATAAAGGGCTGCCATGTGCCCCATCACAGATCAAGAGGGAGCGAGTTTGTCCCAGCACAGTCACTGGAGGAGGCGTTTCCTTTCTTGTTCTCCTTGTTAAAAATCAAAGCTTCTCTCAGCTCACATGGAGCTGGAGAGCGACAGAGCATTGAATATCTCAGGTCTTAAGCTTTTAACCATGCAGAGCAAAACGAATGCTGTGGAAAAACTGAAAATCACCAGAGGGTGTAAGGCTGTGTCTGTGCTGCAGGCTTTGCAGGGTGCCTACGAAACTTTGTTTTCAGTGGGGCAAGTCAGTCCCTGCAGCATGGGCCAAAGGATCTTTCCTAGCTACCATCCCACCAGATCCCCTTCCCTAGCTCCCACCAAGCCCCTGCCCCATATGAGCTGCTCCGTCCTGATCTCCAAGCAGCCCCAGACCTGCAGTACAACCTCACCTGGCTCTCCTGGGTCATGGCTCTTGCAGCACTACCAGGTTAGGGGAGGCTAATTCTCACCCTAGGGAAAGGAAGGCACTCCCTCAGCAGTCCTGGGGACAAGATAGAGCACACAGTGCCCTTCACCAGGGTGCAATGAAATGGGCAAAGGCCAAGCAACAGCATGCTCTGGAAAAGAGCAGAGGACTCCTGGGCATCCAGTTTCATGCTACCCAGCTGGGACCTTAGCGTTCAGGGATGCTAAGCAGCCCATGGATGGCTACACACTGCTGCTCTCCCTCAGACAGGCTGCTCAGTAGCTGCCTTTCATAATTCATTGCCCCTTTCCTTCTGAAGAGGCTGGTCCTCCCTTAACCCTATCTTAAAGACCGAAACTCGCCCATCCAAGAGCAAAACTATTCCAAGTGAGGAATGAGAGACACACCTCTTTCTCCAAGCCAACCTCCAGGCTTAGGGTTGAGCCCAGGCCTTGGCTACGAGTCCTACCACACATATGGCCACCAAACTCCGTAAGAGCTGAAGGTATCTACACGCTGTCCCCACCTAAGCCAGGCAGTGAGACTACTGATGACGCAAGCTGACGTGTTTACATGATCACATACCCAGCATCACCCACCAGGTCTCAGGCTGGAGGGTGTGACAGTGCGCCCATACCCATGGTAGGAAGCACTGTCAGACACTGAAAGTGATGCTGTTGATGGACTGAGACCTGTAGGTGCAGAGACAGTCAGAGGAGGTATTACGCCTCATTCTCGCAACTCCCAGTGGCATCATGCACTGCCTGCCAGCCAAAACCAGGCTGCTCAGACCCAAACAGCAATAGCGGCTAGGTGGCAACCCCAGGCCAGTCACAAAATCCCCATCACGGCCAAGCTGCCACCTCTGCCACAGCCCGTCCCTTCCGTGGGATGCAGACCACTCCGATACTAGAGCAGCTGCTGGATGTTCTTCCTTCCTTGCTGCCTTTGAGGTGAGCACCCTGACATCACCATCCCTCAGGACCCTCTTCCCAGCCCCCTCCCAGCAACAGCGAGCCTGGCAAATACCTTACGGCAAGTAATTTTACATTATTCTGCATTTACACAAAAATAGAGCAATTCTATATTTATAGAGATTTATAGCCGGTTCCGTGCTGGAGGAGTTATGGAGCAAGGCCAGGAGCTGTGGGCGGTCCAGGCTCCCGAGCAGCCGGCTGCTTCTCATTCGGCATTTCCAGCATAGAAAATTAAAGGCATCCGTCTCCGTCTGGTTTCTTAAATAGATAAGGGGGGGATGAACGGACAGTATGTACAGGGGGGCAGCGGCAGGGCCCGAGCGACCTCCG